AAATAAGAAGGGAAAACCGGGTTAAAAGATATAAATATTTACGCCAATCTTACAAAAGTTTTGAAATCTTGGAAATCGAAAGAAATCCTGACGAGTTGACTCTTCAAGAATTCAATTAAATTAAAAAGTAATTTAAAAATATATCTCATTATAGACTCGTCTTCTTTAATTGCTCCGAAGGAAAAATATCTGTAAAGGAACGAAGAAATGGCCTAAAAATTAGAATAATCGATCGATTTACTATCTTGATTAAATTTCCCTTCGAATTCCAATAGGAAATACCCAACATTTCCAACAGTCCAACAAGATGATCGATAATGACAATGAGAAACTTACAAAGATATGGAAATCGACCTTCTTCGAGTTAACTTCCAATATCCAAGTAACGAATCCAAACTCTTCCTGCGTTCGGTCGGCTTCTTATTCAGCTTCGATTATTATATTATTTAGCCGCTATCGCCTGTGTAAGAATATATTTACGCGCGTGTGCCTATATATATATATATACTGAATTGTTTTGTAATTTGCTTGGCACATGGAGAGAGACCTTTGCAACACGTCGAGTCTCGGTTAACCGTGGGCAAAACGCTTCACCGAGAGGATAATCGTGATTCCAAAGGGTGTGTGTCACCGAAACAGGCTGTATTCATGCATCTCTATTTTACAACCTATGTATATTTTATACATATATCTCTTATACATATATATATATGAAATAATCCACGCTTTTGATCGCATCAAGTATATACATATATGTATTATACAGTACTTATAACGCGCCGAGGCCTCCTCACCTGTTTCGATCGCTTTCAAAATATTTGCCTTGCGATTCAAAGGCGAGAAGAGTGCTACGCAGAATTGTTCGACGATCATATGCTACGCGACGTTCTGTGTCATCGACCACGAGAAAAAAAAAAAAAAAAAGAAAAAAGAAAACAAAGAAACGATTCTAATGAGATTCTTAAAAGGGGAAGTGATAATGAAAAGACAAATATGTACACAGCCGTTAATTTTCATTTAACGGTTATTTTTCGATTCACCATTCTTGACACTTAACCTCACGTTTGAGGTGACACGAAACGTACGCGCATGCGCGCACACGCAGCTGCTCCCCAGTGGCAGTAGTCGCGACGGTTCCAGAAAAAAAAAGAGATATTTATACGTAACGCGATATGAAACTCGTCGATGCCATTACGTATCGCGAATACGTAAAATAAATGTTCATGGCACCGCACGAACAGACCTGGAGCAAATTAAGCCGGAGCTGCACTCGAATGGCCAGGACGATTTGACCGATGGTTTATCGCCGCACTCTAACGTTCAACGTGTGACGGCCGATCGGTGGATACGAATGGACAGAATCGGTTCTCATCGGTTGTTCTCTATCATTTTCCTCTTTATTTCGTGGATATATCGTGAAATATATCGATTCGCGATCGATTATCTCGAATAAGACCAGAAGAGGATGCATGTATATATTACGTATATGGATATCTGTACAAGAGGAAAAAAGAATACGAAGAAAGAACGTGATATTTGGATCGGCCGGTTAGATCGTAGATTCTGTCCAATCTGTATACACCTGTGTCGATATAGAAACCGATGTGAAGCACTCTTTCCGATGTAAGTATCGCAGTAGCACTTTATTTTGTCGCATATGCAAGCTTCAAGCACTTCGAGCTTCACGATTAATTATATACATATATATCTCGTTGTATCCAGCGAGACACTTTTCTTTTTAGACGCGTATTAGAAAAACCGCTTCTTCTCTGTATTTTGATTAGCGCGCACGTAGATCATACATCTCTCTCTATCTCTTTTTTTTTAACGGCTTTCACACGCGACACGCGTACCGTAGAATGTTATTATAATCGATGGCTTGTGCTCGTATCTTTTTTCTCTGTATCTTTCATCGCTACTTATCATGTACGAACGAAATAAAAACAAATGTTTTCTTTGCTATATATCTCTTTATATCTATTTTCTATGTCTTTTCTTCTCATTCGCATTCTCTCTATCTCTGTCTATATATATATTTGTTTTTTTTTTTTTTTTTTTTTTAATTTATTTCATTTATTGCGATTCAGTTCCTAACATTGCGACATGAACGTTACTTACCAACACGCGCATGGCGTCAATATTTATATATATACGTCACATAATACTGAACATATAATAATAAAAAAAAAAAGAAAAAGATCACACGAACATAACATAAAAATAATATAAAGCTTAAGCGCATGCGAACACGATATTTTATATTATTTCACGATATATATATATATATTTATATTTGCGGAGAAAAAGCACGACTGCATTTGGTTCGTGGAAACGAATTAAATTATATTCGTTCCAATTATCCGCTTATCCTTGTAACAAATATACAACGCTTTCTCGTCGAGAGAAACGAGAGAGGCCATATTAGATCGTAGCTGATATCATATATCGTCATTGCTGTGAATCTTGTACCATTTTTTTTTGTTTGTTTCTTAATGCGTGTAACAATATTACATGCTCACATTACATACTCGCACACGCATACGTACACACATACACGCACACAAGAAAAAGGGAGAGCAAAGAGAATAATTGACAGTGTATATATATATATAACACGACACATACACACACGTACATGCGATCCGACCAAGAAAAAAAAAAACAATCAGTTGCACGTTGAATCGCGCGATCGTTCATAATCTTCTCTTTAAACTTTCTGTTTCATGCTTGCCCTCGCCTGGATTTCCAACGCACGTCTTTCGACCGACAAATTACCACGCATACAATTGTTTGATCTCCGTCCCGTCAACGCTTACATTCCGGTTCCATCGACGATACCTCCCCGATCCCTCTCTCACTGTACCGAATGTCCGGCCACACGACCGCACTACGGCCCTCCACGCACGTGCCCGAATCACCCTATCTCCCCGAAATTGATCCTGAAACGCCGCACGTGCCTGAGTTACCCGCCCGTTCCACGGAATCTGCGACGACTGCTGCGAAATCCAATCCCGCATCCTTCTCCGATTAATTGCATTCATGTGGCGATTGTGACCAAATCTCTCTCTCTCTTTCTCTCTCTCTTTCTTCCTTCCACGCACACGACAAACCTTACGCTTCTTCTCTCCTATTTCTCTGTCTGTCTCTCTCTGTCCCTCTCTCTATATATTATTTTCCTCTCCTATTTTCGTTTCTCCCTTTTTTTTCCGGCGGGGATTCTCATTCCTGTCCTATCCATCGCGATTAATAAATTTCTTAATTCACGTCCCGATTTTTATCTTCCTTCCTTCTCCTCTTCTCCCACTATGAAACTCGCACTCTCTTGTCACACGTTCCACGGGTTATTCAATTATATATATATATATATATATTTTGTGTCGTCACACACTCGCTCGCTTCTGTTACATCACGATGATAAAAAAAAAATGAATTAAATACAACCACGTGTATTTCATATTTATATATATATATATCGATCGACAAATATATATGTCTCTCGGTGATGGGCCGTCTCACGAATATCGTATTTATCCTCGGAATTACCGCTTACGGTCTCGAATTCGGACACGGTATTCTCTTCTGTGCCTGTCCGCTCTTTTGTGCACATGTTGTAACGTATACGCGATCGTTCCTCCGCGATGATTTTTTTTTTTTTTCTCTCTCTTTATCCGTCGATACATCGTGATCGATACATGTATATACATATGGTTTATAATACACACATACATATATATATATATATATATATATATATATATATATGAATGCTGGCTTGGTATGTGTGCACTGCCGCCGCATTATCGCCGCCATGTTCGCCCATCACCCGTGAAACAACCATCGACAATTTATCATGTTATTTACGACATGTTTTGCATATATATATATATATATATATATTTATATTTGTGTCCGCGTATACACACACATACACACACATTTTTCGTACACACCCTGGTACATGCATATATATATATATATATATATATATATATCTCATCATCTTTGTCATATATTGAAAAACACATCGGTGATAATTAACGAACACACGTTTAAATAATAATAATTTAAAAAAAAAAATGAAAAATCGAAAACACCGTACTTGCACACCCGCAATGATGCGCGCGATGATTATCGTTAATAATGGTGATAAATTTACACACGGTCGTACGCACACACGGTTGACGCGTCCGCACACATGCATACATATATACATACACATTTCTTTCATCATCCGTGAATAATATTCACATTATCATTCTGTTGTAACTCTCCCTTTTTTGACCCCCTTCCCTGCCGCCTACATCGACCACCACTTTTTTTTCTCCATGCACCATGATCGGAAAATAACGAAATAACCGTTAACCGTTGCGACCATGTCCACCACTGAAAAAAAAAAAAAAAAAAAAAAAAAATACGAATTTGCCAAAAAATAAAAATACCACGAATAAAAATATCTCTTATCTTCGCATCCCCTACTTTTTTTGGCGGACATCTTCCAACGAACGATGCGACGATAAATGCGACAATGATTTTGAAAAAAAAAAAAAATGAAAATACCCTCATCCTCGAAAAAAAAAATATATATAACAACAACAAACTGTTACCACTATTACCTACTATTTACCTACAACATACTCGAATTCTTTTTTTTTTTTCCGTGTACATGTACCTGGGTGCTCCGAGGGCACGTTTCGACGTGCTTCACTTTGATTTTGGTGCCTTCTCAACCGAATTCGTGACCGACTGCCAATATTAAAAACCTGTTCATGAAATAAACTAAAATCAAATTTAAAAAAAAAACCAAAAAAAAAAAAAACAAAAAAAAATTCTAAAATTATGTAATAATATGTAATAATAATTTTTTTTAAAAAACTACTGCTACTGAAAATACTTCAAAAAAAATATATATATCTAATAATTAAAAAAAAAAAAAAAAAAAAAAAAAA